CCTTGGCATCCCAGGAAGGAAAGTCAAGAGTCATGCTGGCACCACGTCCCGTGCTGGAGAAGGGCTGGGCGAGTCCCCCCGAGCACCGGGGGAGGTGGGGAGGCTGGATCCCATCCCTGATGCTCACCTCGATGGCGTTCTTCCCGGGGTGATTCTGGGCGAGCAGCTGATCTCCATCTGCATGCAGCTTGTTGATGGCCTCCTCCTTCTCCTCCAGCTTCCGATGGATGAAGTTCTAGGTGGAGACAGGCAAGATACTGACCCTCCATGCAAAAAGAGGGGACCTGGACTGCTTCCAGCGGCTGAACCACTCTGAAAGGGCCTGAACACCTCCCACAAGACAGACAGCATGATGTTCCCCCACTGCAGATGTTGTGGAGAGACGTCACTTTTCCCTCCCTTGCAGATGTTGCTGAAGACGTGACTCTTGCCAAGCAAACGTGGAGATAAGGGAGAAGAGAATGAGGAAGCTCTTGAGCTTCCTTATTGCTGTATTTCTGGCAGGAGGTAAGAACTGACCTCACCCTCCATATGCTCTCATCTGTACATCTCCACCATGGAGTGGGGGAAACTGAGGCACGGGGGAAGGGATGTTTCCTGGCCCCCCCATCCATCTCCTAGCCATCTCCCCCAGCTCCGTGCCCACCCCCCCTGGCTGCAAAGCGCACGGACCTCGTACTGACGGCGCCGGCTGGGGTAGTCCAGGTTGTGGTCGCTCCAGTCGTAATGGGTCCTGTCCTTCGCCTGCTGATCCAGCCAGTAGAGCTTGTTGGTGCAGCGCTGCATGTAGTCCTGCAGGGAGGTCAGGTCCTGCTGCCGCTGTTGGGAGCCAGCCTGGGAAGGGGTCAGAGTAGGGGAGAGCTCAGCCCAAAACTCCTCTCCACCAGTCCCTTTGGGGTGCCTGGCCACCCGGGAAGGGACCCCTGCCAAGGGCTCTGCCCCCAAGATCTCAGAGGTCTCTTACCAGCAGCTTCTGGTACTTGGCTTGGAACTCGTTCATGGACTCCTGGTGACAGAGAAGAAGCGAGGCAAGAGTTAGGAGCGTGTCAGTGGAGAGCGGTGGTCTGGCGGGGGCTGGATGAGGGAGGGGGATGTGGGGTTTATGGGATTTGCCTCATCGTAAAGCTAGAGTCAGTGTAGGATGCTCAGCTCCCAGGGTAGGGGTGGATCTGGGCGCCCACCCAACCTGGTCCGGGCTGTAGCAGCTTGGATGGTGGGGTGCCCTCGCCTTCATCAGGGGCTGGGGATGGGACTGACCCTGTGAGGCGGAAGGGAGAGGGGCAGGAGAGCTGACCTTGTTGCCCTCTTTGGTGATGTGTGGGCCGATGGCCATGACCTCGTTGTGGAAGATGTTGTGCTCTTCTACTTGGCTGTTGACCAGCGGCAGGTCGGTCCCAAAGCCTTTGCTGTTTAAGGCGTCCTGCAGCGAGCAAGGGCTGAGGTTAGTGATGGGGGAACGGGATGTGGTGACTGAGACCTGGGAAACAACTCTTGGAGGTGGACATGGAGCTGGGCTTGGATGGGCTCTAGTGTTGGGTGAAATCAGCCATGCCAGATGGTGACCATGGGAAGGCCAGTTTGGGGATTTTAACCCTTTTCTGGCTGGAAGAGTGTAGGGAGCGGGATAAAATAAAAAGTGAGGGTTGTGGAGTAGAGCCCAAAGCAGGTGGTGACTGGGGAGACCAAGGCAAGGGCTCAAGAGGAGAGGCTAAAGCTTGTTCAGCTTGGGGAGGAGAAGGCTTTGGTAGTGCCTAACAACATAACAGCACGGATAAAATAAAAAGTGAGGGCTGTGGAGTAGAGCCCAAAGCAGGTGGGGAGAGGGTCTCTGGGGAGACCAAGGCAAGGGCCCAAGAGGAGAGGCTGAGGCTTGTTCAGCTTGGGGAGGAGAAGGCTTTGGTAGTGCCTAACAACATAACAGCACCCTTGCCATCAGGTTGTTGAGAAAATGGAGCCAGGCTCTGCGAGGTGGTGTGTGGCAGGAGGGTGAGAGACAATGGGCATAAATCGAAACAGGTGAAGCACAGACCGGGTATAAGGAGAATCTTTTTCACTCTTAGGGTTCTCGGTGGGGTGTTGGAGGACGTTGCCCAGAGGAGGAGTGTGGTCTCCATCCTCAGATGGAGAAGGGTAGAGGTTTGCTCAAGCTCCTCCAGGAGGGCGATGGCCAGCCTAGGAGCCCTGAAGGCCAGGCTGGCCCATGTTGGTCCCCCAGTCCTCCGGAGCATCTTCTCTCTTAGCCCAGCTGCTGCCAGAGGTGCCACCTTGAGCACCGATTCTGCTGCCACCACAGCTGGCCTTGTCACATCCCCTCCAGTACCCCATCTCCTTCCCACGCTGCTCCCAGCACCGAGCAGCCAAGAAGGTCACCAGGAGCCTGTTTCTCCATGGGGAGATGCACAAAGTCCTGCCTGTCCCCAGCTGGCAGTGCCACCGGTGGTCCCCTCGGTACCTGTTTCTCCTCGATCAATGTGGTCCAGTTGAGCTGGGGCTCGATGTGCTGCTGCTGGGGGAAGCCGTAGATCTGGTCGTGTTTCACACGCAGGTTTGCCACTCGCTCCTTCAGCTGCCGGATGCTGGGGGAAGGAGAAGAGGAGGGTGGGATGTGGGATGTGGGATGTGGGATGTGGGCATGGGCCAGCACCGGCATCAGTAGCTGTAGGTGATCCTCTCCCAGGCCTGCTATGGAGGGGGGGGCTGTCCTTTGGGGACCTTGGCAAGCCCAGGCGGGCTGCCAGCAGCCACATTGGGCAATCGGCTGGGGAGGGAGAGGGCAAAGGTTCCCCCATGAACATATCTTCTGCCAAGGGCTGCTAAGTACATCTGCTGATCCTCTCCCAGGCCTGCTATGGAGGGGGGGCTGTCCTTTGGGGACCTTGGCAAGCCCAGGCGGGCTGCCAGCAGCCACATTGGGCAATCAGCTGGGGAGGGAGAGGGCAAAGGTTCCCCCATGAACATATCTTCTGCCAAGGGCTGCTAAGTACATCTGCTGGCTGTGGGTTCTGCTGAGGGCTATGGGTTATGGACCTTAATGTGACCTGGGATGCAGAGGAGTGACCCCCCAGGTGCAGGGAGAGCCCCTGGAGAAGCATCCTCCCTCCTACAAAGCTCTGGGGACAGGTCTCCCCCCTCCCCGGTACTCACTCTTCTGTGATCATGTCACCCTGGGGGTGCTTCATGTGCCGGGCGATGGCTGCGTCCCCATCGAGCACGTAGAGCAGCTTGTCGGACTCGGAGAGTTTCTGAGCCGTCAGGTCCTTGTACTGTGCTAGCTGGCAGGCCTTGATCTTATGCAGGTCCTGGGTGGGCAGAGAGTGGGGAGAAAGGGTCACCAGGGGAAAAGAAATGTGTCCAAGAGGGCTGAGAGAGGTCCTCCTGCCACCCTGCCCCTGGGCACCAGAGGTGGGCAGGAGCTCTGCCATCTCCTGTCCTCCCAGGGATGTATTTTGGTGTCTCTTTGGGTCGATGATCTCAAAGGTCCCTTCCAACCATGAATATTCTGTGATTCTGTGATATTAGTCCCGAGGAAGAGCTGGGGGAGGCTGCATCACCTTGGGATGCATCCTACCCTTTGGGGAGAGGAGGGTGGTTCAGGCCCTTCTCCTCCACCCCAGCTGCCTGCTGAGCTGGACATCCAGGGATGCACGTCCCTGTTCTGGGCAAGGAAGAATTTTGGGGACCCCATCACCTGTCACACCCTCCCACCTTCTTCCCACAACCCAGGGGGGAACCCGTGCATCCCTCCCTTAGGGATCGTCACACCCGGGTACCCCCACGGGGCAGGGTGACCACGCAGACGTGCCCCAGGAGAGGAGATGAGACCAAAGTGGAGCAGGAAGGGCTGCAGCAGGAGGGAGATGGGGTGATGGGGGGGACACACAGGGTTTCTTGGAGGAGCCCGCGCAGGTGGGGCCATGGGTTGCTCACATTTTGCATCCGGGAGTCGGTCTCCACGATGTTTTTCTCCACCTGGTCGGCATTTTTCTGCAGGCGTTCTATGAGCTCGGTCAGCTCTTTGCTGGAGATGCTGGGGAGACAGAAAGTGGGGGGAAGGGGGGAGGAAAAAGAGGTTGGTCACCCCACAAACACAGCCACAGCCCTAAGCTGCTGCTGGGGCTGCCCTCGGGGGTGCCGTTGTCCCCAGGGGTGGCCGGGGGCCAGCCCAGCTTGCCAGGGGCTGCAGCTGCCTGTGACTCACTGCTGCCTTTCTAACACTTTCCAAAATACTCGGCTGCTCTGCCAGGAGCTCTCGGGGAGGGGGGGCGGAGGGAGAAGGGAGGGGGGACAGGGATCGGTATCTCCTGCCCAGTGGAAATGGGAGCGATGCCACTGACGAGCCCGAGCCTCCCATGGCTTTGGAGTGAGAAAGAAAAAAGCTGTTTGCAGGAGAAATGGGGGAGCCCGAGCAGCAGAGAGGGCCCGACCCCGTGCACGCAGGCGAGGTGGCCCGTTTGAGGCCGTTGCGTGCCCTGTGGTTGCCCATGCTCCTGCCTTGGAGCTGTGCCCTCTCCGTGCCACGCTCAAGGCTTCCTGGCCCTCCAAGGAGTTATTCACAATTTAAACACGATTATTGACAATAAAGGGAGGGGGCAGCCCCCATGGCATCTGTCTCTCGGTGCTTTGACTCTCGCTGGGCATTGGTTTTTGCTCCCAGGGTGGTCCCGGGGAGATGCTGGTGCCAGCCCCTCCGTTTGCAGCCGGGCTGGCAGGGTGCAGGGCCAGCCCAAATAATTCCCAGCCAGGGCTGAGCTAGAGCAGAGCCAGACCAACCCGTGACGCAGGGTTTTGCATTCCCAGGGCTATTTTAAACATTTTGTCCTCTTGCTGTCACTCTGGCCGCAGAGGAGGCTGCGGCGTGCCAGGGGACCACGTGCCAGGCGATGCCCGTGGCTCTCCTTGCTGGGGACTGGAGGCAGAAAGCGAGGTGGTGCTCCCCGAGGGTCCCTGCAGCCGGAGGGTTCCTGGAGCCCAGGCTGGTGGCAGGGCTGGGGGTGTCCCTGCTGTGCCACCTCCCCATGCGGGCTCAAGCCAAGGGCTGGCTCACTCCAATCCCAACCACCCATAGAGCGCTGGGGTAATGAGCCTTAATGACCTCGTTATGTGGTGGGAGAATTAATCTTCATGTGGCACTTGGAGGTGTTAATTGCTGTTAGAGCTGCTGGAAGGTAAGTTGTGTGTCTCCTGCGAAGGCTGAAGGGCAGTGGGGTGGCTGGAGGGGAGCAGCGTTGTCTGGTGGAGCACCAGCCCCCCTCAGCCATGGTGTGGAGGTCCCCAGGAGGACCTCATCCCCCCAGGACCTCATCCAGCAGCTTGGTCAGCCCAGCTCCGAGGGGTTCTGTAGCACCGAGGTCCATCATGGGGCAGAGGTTGACTATGTGAGCTTCTCCAGACCACCATGAGCCACATCCTCCTGTCTTCCACAGCATGGTGGGCCAAAGCTGAGAGCAGACATGGCTTGTTGACCAAGGCAGTCCTCTCCCAGGGCTTTCCAGTGGCTTTCCTGGCCATGTACCAGTGCTCAGCTACCAGCAGGTAAGAGGAGAACGTGGCCTTGTCAGTCCTGTGCCCCTTGGGGTCTCCAGTGAGGACATCTCAGCTTGCTGCCTTCCCAGTGTGGGCACTGGGGGGAAAAAGCTTGTCCAGCCCGGGTCTGGCCAGCCCCCTTCCTGGCACTGGTGCTGAGCTTCAGGACACGTCCCTGCCTCCCACCCCTGCCGTCGCTTTCAATGCAGCAGAACAAACCAAAACCCAGCTCTGGACTTGTTCCTCCCTCCCTCCAGCCCTGCCCTGGGGCTGCAGGAGCCTCGTAGCATCTGACAGCTCCACAAAAAGTTCACGCTGCCCAAGAAGTTCTGGTGTGGGCAGGATTTACGCTGATTTCTTTCTTTTTTTTTTTTTTTTTCTTTTTATAGAAGCTGCGTCATCAGGACGGTACTCGGCAAGGCTGGTGGTTTGTGTCTGTCACCGCTGCTGCTGCCTGGCACCTCCTGACAAGCTGAGGGATCTCCTTAATTAATGAGCCCTCTCCCATCAGCAGGAATGAACTGAGCGGGCATTTCCCAGCAGAACATCAAAGGAACGGGTCACTGCGAGTCGTGTGGCTGCTTTCAATAAGTGCAAGGGTGAGTCTCGTTTTCCCTTAAATAATTACAGCTGGAGGGCACAGGGGTCACCAGGAGATGGACATGGGTGGCTGGATCCCACTGCAATGGTAGAAGCAGCTCTTCAAAATCCACTTTGGGGCTTCTTCTAATCTGCTTCATCCCATGAAAACCAGGGAAAATGTGTGATGAAATCAGTGGAGAGAAACCGGTTTGAAGCTGAGCGACTAAAATGTGTGTTCATGTGTCTTTAGCTGATGGTTACTCAGAGCTGGCCCCATCTCCTGCATCCTGAGAAGAATTTGCAGCCACCAAGGAGCCTTCCTCATCTGGAAGTGGACAGATGATGGTTACTCAGAGATGGCCCCATCTCCTGCATCCTGAGAGAGTTTGCAGCCACCAAGGAGCCTTCCTCATCTGGAAGTGGAGGCCACCTGAGCTTTGAAGGTGGGAGAGGCCGCGTTATCCAGGTGGGAGCTTGGGATGCTTCGCTGCGATAGCTGGGAGGGAGCTGAACCAGCACTGAGTGGGGCTTGGGAAGAGCTGGCAGGGCTTGTGGCTCCTCTCCACGTTCCTGACCTCAGTCTCGGTGTCTTCCAGCAAGCCCAAGGATGGGTCACAGTGGTTCTATAGCGTGGATGAACAAACCATCCCAAAAAGAGGGAGGTCATGGGTTTGATTGGTTGTAGGGGGGAAATAAAATTAAGCCGGGGGTCATTTGAGATGCTGCGTTTCGGGCACGGTTTCCTGAGCTGTTGCTGCTGGTCTGATCCAAGAGGGCTGAGCCCGGAGACCCTGCCTTTGTGCTCGCTTTGCATCGGCAAAATCACCCTTGGGTGCAGGAACCAGTGGGTGCATCACCCCAGCCCTGACCCACTCACTCACTTTGCCAGGAGCATCCTCCATGGCCGTGCTGCAGGAACAGCCAGGCTGGTTTGGGATGGGGATGACGTGTCTGGGTGAGGATGCGCCCTTCATCCCCTTCTCCCCACTCTTCCCCCGGGTCTGAGCCACAAGCTCTAATCACCCTTGTTAATCACCCTGCCACTGAGCTGGGGCTGCCTGTGCCCCGTCAGCTGGTTCCCAAGCTGGTGCTGCTGCCCTCGGCCATTCCTCCCACCCTCCCCATGACTCGGGGAACACAGTGCCAGGGGCAGAGCCACCCTCTGTCCCCAGCCCTGGCATTACCCAGGAGGTGACAGCCCCTTCTCTGTCGCTGCAGGGCACAGAAGTGGGTGTTCGGGCTCATGTAACAGGGAGGGCAGAGGAACACAGAATCATGGAGTGGTTTGGGTGGGAAGGGACCTCCAAGCCCACCCAGTACAACCCCTGCCCTGGGCAGGGACACCTCCCCCCACACCACGTTGCTCCAAGCCCCCTCCAACCTGCCCTTGAACCCCTCCAGGGATGGGGCAGCCACAGCTTCTCGGGCCAACCTGGGCCAGGCTCTCACCACCCTCCCACCAAACAAGTTCTTCCCCACAGCTCAGCTCCATCTCGCCTCTTGCAGGGTCCAACCCTTCCCCCTCCTCCTAGGGCTCCCCTCCCTCATCCAGAGTCCCTCCCCAGCTTTCCTGGAGCCCCCCTTCTTTAGGGACTGGAAGGGGCTCCAAGGTCTCCCCGGAGCCTTCTCTTCTCCAGGCTGAACCCCCCAACTCTCTCATCTCCGGGGCCTCCTCTGGCCCCGCTCCAACAGCTCCATGTCCTTGGGATGTTGGTGGCCCCAGAGCTGGAGGCAGCACTGGGGGGGGTCTCCCCAGAGCGGAGCAGAGGGGCAGAATCCCCCCCTGGCCCTGCTGCCCACGCTGCTGGGGATGCAGCCCGGGGTGGGGGGTTTCTGGGCTGCCAGTGCACGTTGCTGGCTCCTGTTGAGTTTCTCACCCACCAACACCCTCAAGTCCTTCTCAGGGCTGCTCTCCATCCCTCCATCCCCAGCCTGTGCTGGTACTGGGGGCTGCCCTGACCCTGGTGAAGGACCCTTGGCCTGGTTGAACCTCATGAGGTTCTCAAAATCCCAGGCTGCCCTGACCCTGGTGCAGGACCCTGCACTTGGCCTGGTTGAACCTCATGAGGTTCTCAAAATCCCACTTCTCCGGCCTGTCCAGGTCCCCCTGGATGGAACACCTCAGGATGGCGTTTCCCCACGTCAGAGAGGAGGGTTTGCCCAGTAATCCAGAAACTCCTGCTTTGATGTGCAGTATCTGGGTGACCAGGGAAAAGAAAATGCCAAGCTTGCTCCGAGCAAGCAAGGACATGCTGGGATGTGATGTGGGCACGGCTCTGCTGCTCAGCTCGGCTCTCCTGACGCACGCAAGAGGAGCTGTTTGCTCTCTCCACCTTTGTGGTTTACACCAGCCACCGGCGGAGCTGGTGACTGTCACCAGCTGAGGTTTTGGGACGGGGAAATCTAATAAGGAGCTCCCACAGGAGCTGGATCTCAAAAGAGCCACTCCAGTGTGGGGGAGCTGCTCATCTGCATCCCATCCCATGCTGAACACGAGGGGGGTGCCTGCTCCTGCTCCCCCCCACTGCTGCTTGAAATGCAGAATTAAGATGTGCAGAAATAAATACATAAATAAGGGAGATCTCTCTTATTTCTGTATTTTTTTTTCCGGCATAATCATCATTTCTGTGCCACTTAACCAGCCAACTTGGACATTAACGATATGAGATCATCACCCCTATTAATAATCTGCCTGTCCCGTTCCCCCCCCCATAGCTGGGTCTGTGTTAATAAACCACGAGGACGAGTGTGGTCCCTCCATCCTTCTGGCTATCAAGCAGGGGTGCCCGAGGGAAAGCTGGAATCTCCTGGCCAGAGGAGGAGGAGGTCAGCTTCCCCTGTGCCCTTCGTCGGCCAAGAGGAGGGAGAGGTGGGAGAAGCCCAAGGTGATGGATGAAGGGGTGGGGGGAGTCCTGGACCACCCCCCAGGAAAGGTGTGCGGATGGGATTTGTTGCAGGAGATGGTGGGTTTGGGAGCGGAACTGCTGGCAAAGGGGTGCTGGGGCCAAAAACCAGGCAGGAGGGGATGGTTGGAGCACAGAGCGGTGCCGGGGGGAGGGAGAAAGGCAGGATTTGGTCATTTTCCAGCTGGGAAGAGCAGCACAGGCCAGGCAGAGAGGAGGCAGGAGCAAAGGTGCCCAGGGCACGGCCCTCGTGAGGCTCTGGCAGAGGGAAGGGAAAGGCAAAGCTTTTCTGCTGCAATAGATAAGTCTTTGTTTGAAAGATTGGAGCGGAAAAAAAAAAATTTGAAAAAAAAAAAAAAAGCCTGGAAAAACTGGCTTTGCCATTTCTGGAGAACTTTAACATTTTCTGATGATCAGGAAGGGAAAAATGATATCACTCACGAAAAGCTGCGCTGGGCAGAAGTGTTATTTCTGGTCAGTGCTGCCTCCAGCAGCTGCAGCATCTCCTGGCTGGTGGGAAGGACCTGAGATTGCTCCTGTGAGGAATGGGAGGGTTTTTTCAGGTTTCTCCCAGCTGGAGAGGTCAGAGGAGGCAGCTGCTCTGCGGCAGGTTTCACTTCATCCATGTACCACACTTCTGACTCCAGGTTATGCTCTGTTTCTTTGGGGTTTTTATTTGGGTTTTGTGTTTGGGGTTTTTTTGTTGGTTGTTTTTTGTTTTTGGAAGAGAGGTCCTCGAAAGACAGATGTGATGATAATTACGGTGATATGGAAACTTTGCTGCTAAAAACTGGGTTATTTTTTTTCTCCACTCCTGCTTTTTTTTTTTTTCTCCCCTCCCATTAGGTTGTATCTTCACTGATATGAGCACATTTTGGAGCAAACTTCCCTGAGGTCGGCATCTCCAGGATGCCCACAGGTTCGCACCCTGGCTTTGCGCTTGCAGGCAGGTGGTAGGAAATCCCTTTGATTTCTCTGTCTCCTTCCTCCCCAAACAAGGAGGCTATTTCACTAATCCCCCCCAGTGAGGATGTTCAGATAGATACTCCTGGAGTTTTGACTGCTCCAGGTGACCACAGTCCCTGGGAAAGCTCCTGCTGGGAGCTTGTCCCGTGAATGGGACACTTGCTGGGAGGGTTAATGGGACAGACTCTGTCCTGCTCCATCCCCCAGCCCAGCGACTGGCCATGCCCCTGCTCTCCTGCTGGGAAACCTTCTCATGGTGGGAGCTTCTCCCCAGGTGGGGCTGCTTGTCCAGGAATAGAGTCCCAGCACGGATCCTGGTCCTGCTTACCACAGCCTATACTGGGATGCACGGATGGTGCATCGGGTGGTGACCACCTACTGCTGCTCTCAAATCCATCTCCATTGCATTGGAATGGGCTGCCCAGGGAAGTGGTTGAGGCACCATCCCTGGAGGTGTTCGAAAGACGGGTTGATGTAGTGCTGGGAGATATGGTTTAGTGATGTTTTTTTTATCAGAGTTAGGTTGATGGTTGGACTAGATGATCTTGAAGGTCCCTTCCAACATAGACAATTCTATGATTCTATGATTTAATTTCCACTTATACAGATTCCATTAAAAAAATGTTTGTTTAAGTGAGACTGGACTTCAGGAGGGACTTAAAGTGCACGGATACTCCAGAAGCCACAGCACAGATTTATAAATGTCCTTAAAGCTCCCTGAGCCACGGCTACCACTGCGTGACATTTCCTTGTGCTGCTTCCAACGAAACTGGAGTGAAACCGTGGCAGAGCAGAGGACAGGAGGGCTGGGCTATGGCCAGTGTAACTCAGGGTTGGGCGAGATTAAGATCTGGCTCAAAACTGGGGAGCAGCGTGCCGTCGAGCTGCCCACGGTAGGGCGTAGCTGGACAGCAGGGCTGCTGTGCTTACTCCAGCTCGTTTCAATTATATTTATCTTCCCTCGTCGTAATGGTGTGATATATTATTGTAATGTGCATGGAAATTAAAGCAGAAATAGGCCAGGCGATGGCGAGGCTTGCTCCACCGTAAATACAGAGCAGCTCTCCTGACTCACCCTCCGTCTGCTCCTTCGTGCTGACTCCAAACAGCCTCTAGAAATGGGTGCCAGCCCTCCCGCCTTCTGCCCCAGCTCCTGCACCCCCTCTTAGATGTTGACAGGGTCTCCTGACAACCACTAAGGCTCTCCAGGGCTGGGAGCCCTCCTGGATGTTTGCTCTCGCCAGGGGACCCCAAGGCTGAAGACCTTTCCTGCTGGCGGGGGGATAAGATTCAGCAGCAGCAACTTCTCAAGGCTGAGCCGTCTTTTCTACCTCCCAAACTTGGACTTTCTAAGAGAGAAACCAACCTCCTGGTTTCTAAGTGTTTGATGAAGATGATGGAGAAGGAAGGTGATGGTTTTCTCCCACATTATGTCCCTATTCAAGGTTTCTGCCTTCCCTTCTAGGGACAGATATAAATATATACACATGATGTGCTACCACCCCAGTAGTCATGGTGAGTCCCAGCTGAATCCCAGGTCCTGATGCTACTGGGATGGGGTGGGCAAGAAGAGCACAAAGCAACTAAGTCCACGAATACAGAAGAAATGTCATCATCATTGTCCCCGTTCCCTGGGCAAGGCAGGGAGATGCCCACACACCCACTGACATGCCCAGGGATGGTCAGGGCTGGCTGCTGTGCCTGGAGACCACAAGCCCAGGCCAGAGCTGCAGGAGATGGTCCTAAGGAGAGACTTGGACTCTGGTCCCGCTGATTTGTGCATCAGAAAAAAACAGACCCATAGGGAGCTGTTGAGGAGCGTCACCCCACTAGGGGTAAAGAAAGGAGGGGGATGGAGGGGGATGCAGTCTGTGGGGCTTAGCACAACATGGCCATGGGTTTCCTCCAGCCAAGTCATGGCACGTGGCCAGTGCCCTCCAAGACTCAACTGGCGTTGCCGAGGATGGACAAGTCGCAGCAGGACAGAGGACCTGGCACCAATTCACCTTCCAACCCTCATGGCTTTGTATGGTTTAATGTCACTCCTGTTCTTTCCCCGCTGTTAGAGCTTCAAAGCAGGTTGGCTTTCCTCCTTAATAACGCCAGCGTGGGGCTGGCCGGCCTTGAGACGCGGAGGTGGTTGCCACAAATGGCTACTTCCTTGTTCAGAGAGGGGTTCAGCTCCTGCGGGGACCTGCGTCCCCAGCACGTCAGCAGGGATGGAGCAGGGAAACCCATCCCTGCCCACCCCAACCTCTCAGTCCCTGGGTCCCAGGCAGCTCAGGGGGAGGCAGGGGAGATGCTCGAAGCCCATATGCTTCAAGATGCTTTGGATGGGAGGCTGAAGAGTCAATTTGGGGCTGGGGAAAGGTGGCTGTCTGCATCCAGGGGAGTAAAGAGTGTTGTTCAGGGGCAGATTACAGCACCTGGCTTGAGCTGCACAGACTCCATGAGATCTCGAGTCTCTGGTGCTGCTCATTGAGATGCCCCCCACCACGGGAAGGTCTTGTCCCAAAGCCACCAAGACTCACAGCAGCTCCTCCTCAGGCTGCGACAGCCGGGAGGACGGCGCTTCCTGGGCAACCCCTCGCCAAATCAGCTGAGCTCGTAGCAGGAAACGTTCCAGTGCCCTGGCACGCTCGCCAAACCGGTGCTCAGTCACTGCCCTGTCACCGTTGGGCTTTGAAGGCCCGGTCACCGGCGGCACCTTGGCACTCAGCCCTCCCCTAAGGTGCAGGCCCTGCGCAGCCGCGCCGAAGCGCAGGATGAGGCCTGGCTGGAGGTGGTGTTGAAACCTCCCTGCCTGTTTACGATGGGGGCGGCGGGTTGGTTGATTTTTAGCAGTGTTGCTCTGTTTTTCTAGCAACAGACCTGGGCGGGAGCCGGCTGGGAGCCTGGCAGTGCCTGGAGCAGGGGACGGGGCGGCAGGAGCTCCTCGCTCCTTCTTCTTCTTCGCAATCCTTCTCCGGCAAGTTGTTTAACCGGTCGGGCACCGGCTTCCCCATCTTGATGGTGGGGCTGTTCCACACGGTGGGAGTGTTCCCTGGATTCACAGATGTTTGTAAACTCCAACGCAGGAATTAACAAATTGGGGCTAATGAGCACAGCCCTCCCCGAGGTGTGCACGGCCAGCCGGGGTGCAGGGAGGGAGGGAGGGTGGCCCCAGGCCGCAGCCCGGCGCTGCTTCCTCAGCTGCCACCAGCCAGAAAAATAAAGATTTCAGCCTGGCCTGCAGCCTCCAGAGGTGCTTTGGCACCTGCCCAGGGCTGGCTGGGCTGGCGGGCAGGGTGGCAGAGGGAAGATGGTCTTCCCCAGCCCCATCTGCCATGGGATGGTGGGTACCTGGCACTGGCAGAGCTTGGAGAGCAGTGGTGGGGACCCCGGCTGCAGCCCCAAGGTGGGGATCACAGGAGGGGTACCTGGCACAGAGGAGGTCTGTCTTCTCCAGCCTCCCAACACCCTGATGCTGCTCGGACTCCTGATCTGTCAGCCCAGGTGTGTGGTGTTTCTCATTTTCAAGCCTTCCACTAACACTTCCAAAGACTAGAAATGCCACCAGGTATTTACGCCATCCTTTGCCCGTGGGAAATCCAGGGCTGGGGCCATCAAGGAGGTGGATGCTGAGCCTCAGAGGGCTCCATACCACCCCTCTCTCCTCCTGCCAGCCCTCCCCAGGGCAGGAGCTGGCAGCGGGGCATGCCTCAGGCTTTGGGAGCAGGAGCCTGGGTGGCCCTGCTGAGCCAGCCAGGCTGCTGGGAGAGCCCGTCCCCAGGGCTCAGCCTGAACGGAGGGAGCTCAGCAAATACCAAAGCCCGAGCACCCACCGCGCCGGGGCAGCACCCTCCCCTCTCGGGGAACTCCCCTCCTACGTGCTCCCTCAGATTGTGTGGGTGCTTTCTGGGCTGACTGGTCCCTTTCTGGGTCCTCAAAGGCCCCTCAGCCCCTGCGTGGGGTCCCCAGTTTCCTTCCGAAGGAGGATTTTTGGGAACAGGGCGGCTGCTCCGAGCCCACCAGCCAGGGCAGGTGCCGATGGAGATTGATGAACAAGCCATGGGCTCAGATCTCCACCAGCCATCCTGCCCTGCA